TGTGCAGCACAGGAATATGCAAAACTACATTATACACACTTTTTATCAAAGGAGATACAAAATTCTGGCTTGTAATTTTAGACAAATACAAGAAGCTTCAACCTAGACATAAAGGGTTAACATTAATTCTCAAATATAAGTCTGCACTTTTGTGTTGTATTTCTCTGAGATGTGAATACTAAATTCCTAAGAGATTTTGTTTGCCTTCTTAAAGGAAAAATCAACAGGTCTTGTAAACAAGCCCTTCCCCATTAGCCTAAGCTTTCCACCCTTTCACTTGCCCTCCTGTGGTGCCCACACACTTGTGTCCTGCACAGCCAGACCCAGATCTTCTCCTGGGAAATCAGACACCACTGCCTCAGCCCCACTTAGCCCACACGCGTGCCCTTTGTCTTTTTGAGATAGGGTCTCGCTATGTAGTTCAGGCTGGTCTTGAGCTCAGTTTGTAGCCCAGGCTGGTCTCGAACTTGCAGTGATCCTCCTGCCTCGGCCTCGAGCACGCCACCACACCTGGCAACAGAGCCTCCTTTCTCCTGCTCCTTTGGCTAAGTGCTGTGCGGCTCCCAGGCTGCAGCAGCTCCCAGGGAGCACGGCCGTGTGAGGCACGGCCGTGTGAGGCACCACAGAAGGTTAAAGAGCTGCCTGATGCCAAGACAACTCTGCCCAACTTCACACAACACTGACTGCTCGAGGGGCTTTCCTGCTACTTCTGCATAGATATTCCTGTCCAGCATGTGCGAGGCAGTAGTTGTACTTTCTAAAATGTTATGAAGAGGCAATGAACAGGAAGAGAACTTTTCTGCTCTTTAAGAGTTTCACTGTTGTCTATCGTTCCCTAATCGCCTTTTGATACCTAAATGTGTGTGGATATATATGTAGATGTAAATGAATTACCCCATCTTTCACTGGCAATGTACAGCCAACTCTTGATTATCTATGAGCATCAGGGATATTTCCCATTAGTCTTTTTTTTTTTTTTTTTTTTTTTCTGATACTGGGGAATGAACCCAGGGCTTTTGCACTGAGCTATATACATCACAGCCCATTTATATTTTAAGACAGGGTCTTTGTAAGTTACTAAATTGCTTTACAGTTCTGAGATTACAATTTGCTCCACTATGTTTGGCTCTAATATTTTTCTTTTTTTTGATGGTGTGATTGAACTCAGGGCCTTGTATGTGTTACAGATGCATTCTATCACTGAACTATATACCCTTACCCACTAAGGTCCATAGTTTGTAACTGCTGTTTAGTACAGATATGAGTGTAAGATTTGAAGAATCAGCAAAGTGGTTTGGCTGATAAGAAATGTTTATCTCTCTATTGGAGAATGGATCTTAGCTTGGTGCTAGTGTTATTTTTGTATCATAAGAAACTAATACACAGCTTAAATATCAAAGTAATGTACTCAAGGCCAATATGTGACAAAAGGAAAAATGATGGTTCTGAAACCACATCATGAATTACCATGCCTGGATTACAGTAACTGACATTGTGGCAACTATGACTCATCCTGTGGGTGGGAACGGAGGTGGAAAGTGTTAAAGTATACTCCTAGATACAGAGCTCTAAGTAAAGGAAAAATAAGTTGTTTTAAGTTCATCTTCACAGTGTCTACAATGACACATTGGATATAAATTACTGCTAGAGAAAGCAAAAAATGAGCTCAACATGTTAAGAGTGCTTTTTCATCCTTCTCTGCAGAAGTAAAATATTTAATTTCTCCATATTGGTTTCACTGAAACCACAAGATCATAACCAACTAGAATAGTTTTTTACTCTTTCTATGTAGGTTTTTTTTTTATACCAAAGGGTCATGGGCAGACATGGCACAAAGGAAAAAGTTATATACTAGCGTTTAATTATCAAGGGCAAATCGTTTCTCTACCTTTTGGCTAAGATCAAGTGTAATTATCAAGGGCAAACCACTTTTGATACTTTTGGTCTCTAAAGAAACCTAACCAAAACCAGCAAAGTTTATAACATACTAAGAATGAATGATATTTTTTCCCTTTTGTATTGGGAATCACCATTGGATGCCTTTGAAGATGAACCAGTAATTGTTTACTCTTTTTTTTTTTTCTTGCAGAACCGGGGATTGAATTTTTCTCGGCCCTTACTTGTTTAGTCTTAACACAAACTCAAAATTTATTTTTGGAGCCGGGGAGGTGGCTCAGTGGAATAAGCACTTCCCTGGCAAGCTCAAGGGCCTGAGTTCAATCCCTGGTTCTGCAAAAAAAAAAAAAAAAAAAAAATTATTTTTGTCTATTGATGTTGCTTAAATATAGCTTTTCTATCCAAGATTGTTGGCAGTGTCACCTAGGATAATTAAGATAAATTCTGTTCATTCATTTTTGGCATTTTGGGAAAGGCTGTGCTCTTTTACTGTATTATAGATTGGGGAAAATAGCTAAGGTAAAAATCATTCCTCAAGGCTATTCCTGTTCTAAGGACAAATATAAAGCAAAATATATAGAACAATTAAAAAGAAGCAGTTCTAGCAGACAACTTAAAAAAAGTTAAGTGAATGATCTTTTGGTAGTCTCTTTTAGCTCGTTTCTGAAGTCCAGAATTATCTTTCTCATAGGAAGTGGGACTTGCTAAAATTGTGTCATGTTAACTCAAGTATAGTGTGATCCACAGAAATACTAGTGATTAAGAAGTTCTACAAAATTAGCCAGGTAGAGTAGTACATGCCTACAATCCTGGTAGTCAGGGAGGCTGAGACAGGAGGATTGCCTACTCTGAGCAACTTATCAAGATCCTTTCTCATGGGGCCCAGGAGATAGCTTAGTGACATAAGCCCCTGCCTGACAAGTGTAAGATCCTAGTTTGATCCCCAGTGCAAAAATAGTATATATCCTATTTCAACACCTTGCCAAGGTCCGGAGTTCAATCCCCGGTCACACACAATGTTATAAAATTCCTTCCTCTTTTAAAATTAATTAATTAATTTTTCTCTTTTTGAGACAGGACCTCATGCAGTTCAGGCTGGCCTTGAGCTTACTTTGTAGCCCAGGCTGGTCTCAAATTCACAGTGATCCTCCTCCCTCAACTTCCCAAGTGCTGAGATTATAGGTGTGCGCCACCACGTCTGGCACCAGTTTTTATAATGAATTATTTCTATTTGATAGTTTGAGTAGATTTAAAAAAAAAAATCATCTGGTCCCTAGACATTAATGTAGGACAACTGTCTTATTAAATGTGGGCATTTTTTTGTCTATTAATAGTTGGTCTCCACTATGGGCCAGCTAGATAGCTCAGCAGACTAAAGCACCTGTTTAGGCAGAACACAGCAGCTAGGGTTCAATCCCTGGCATGTTGTGCTGGCCCCACCCCTGGGACGTGCTGAGACAGTGATTGAGACTGGGCATGGTGGCGTGCATCTGTAATCCCAGCGCTTGGGAGGCTGAAAACACGA